GTAATTATTAGACTAATAGTTCAAGATTTTAATGGAAATTTATCATTAGAAGAAGCAAGAGAAATTATGAAAAACAGCAGATTTTAGCGCATATGTATATAATGATTAAATAATTATTATACTGTAATAAAAAAAAAGTTCTAATTTTTGAATTTTTATATGAAATTTAAGTTTGCAGCAGTTGAGTAAATACAATATTAATTTTATTTACAAAGATAGTATAAATTATATAATATTACACAATTAATTTTTATCCAATAAAATTCGTTAAAACTTATTGTACACCTCTAGCGCAGGTTAAATATCTACACCTTTGGTTAAGGATACCTCATAAAAATCTCAGTTCAATTTAATTTTTTTTTAAACGTACCGTCACATAATTATCTGGACATTCTGATTGGTCAGATTAGATGACGTTTCATTATGACGAATTATTCGTTATATATACTAAATAATTCATTATAGTAATAACGAATTTTCTTATAACGAAGGTCTGATTAGTCCAGACGCCAAATTTCATTATATTGAGTTTTTGACTATATAAAAAAATAACTTGCTTGATAGTTCAATTGGGGTTTAGAATATAATATTATTTTAAACCCATTAGGGATACTCATTATAAAAATCACATTTGGATCATATGATTTATGTTTCATATATAGCTTCATCCAGATGATACTAGGAGCCAAATAATTCAATAAACCAATGAGAATCGTTCACTTAACAATTAAATTTAATTAATTGAAATATCTATCTAACTTAATTCTAAATTAATTATAGCTTATTTCTATTCATAAAATGAAATGAAATTTTTTTTTGCTTAATTTTATCTTCAAAAAATCCATATTTATAATTAAATTTTGACATCAATTTATTTAACTTAGTGATCATAAACAAACTCTTTAAACTCGTCTTATCATATCATATTTATCCTTTCATTTTGTTTTATAGATATTAGGCCCTTTTTTTTTATCTGTTTTACAAAAAAAAAAATATTCTAACTGCTGATAACTTACCAGAATAATAAATTTAGGTAAGGTTAAACTAGTTCAGGGAAATACAAAGCTTTTGCTTACATAAAAAGCTTGAGGATGGATTTCTTGTTGGTTGAATTTGTATTTCTCCAAATCTGAAAATTTTTTCTCTTCAGCAATGTCAAATTGATCAGATAACTCAGATTGTATAGGTTCATCGCATATTGCAGTTATCCAACTACCTAATAATTCATATAATTGTGATGCAGTTAGACATTCAAAGGATCAAAATGCCAATATTACATCATCAACTGAATATAAACATCTGGAGTTTTATCAATCGTTTCAGAACAAAGATCAGAACAAATTTCTATAACTAATTTTAGATCATGTGCTCTATTATACTATAGACAAATACCTGCAAAAAGTGTTCACATGATTATTTCAAAGCTGTAAATATCTGAAACTTTTGTTGCTAAATTTCCTTTCAAAATCTCAGAAGTTACATAAGGAAGAACTCCATATATATCATTTGAATTTTTCTCTTTAACTGGACTGTGTATTCTTACATCAGCAACTAATACATTTATTGAATCTTGTTCATTCTCAACCAATAGATTACCTTCATGAAGATTTCTATGAATTAATTCAAATTTATAAATTTGGTTAATTCCCATAGAAATTTTCCAAAGCATATCAATAATGTCTCTCAAACAAAGCATTTCATGTGTTTCATCAAGATAAGAATGTAAGTCTCCACCCTTATAATATTTCATAAAAATCATATAATTTGAAGTTGGATCTTTAATTATTCCAAAGACACTTCTATTTTATAAACACTTATAATATTTATAAATCTAATAAAATCAAACAAAAGTTTTTTATAAAATGTTAATATATTCACCAGAAATAAATATTTTAAGTAATTAACTTACTTGATTCAGATATTCATCACTAATATTTTGTGAATCGTTAAGCTGTTTAAGAGTGACTTTAATTGGTCCGCTACGTGTCTATTGTTCAGAGCCTTTATCCCAAATACATTGAGGATCTTCCATCTAAATTGCCGAATATATTGCATTAAAGGCTTCTCTTTTATTCGTATTTTCTATTAGATCAAATTGCTCAAAATAAAGATATTTCAAGTAATCTGCACTTCCAGTAGTAGAGTTTGGAACCAGTTTTAATTTTAGAAACCAGTTTTATTATGTTATGAAAATTGGAACTGGTTATATATCAGTTTGAATCGATAAATTGATAAACTGGTTAAAACTGATAAATGATAAAACGAGAAACTGATAAACTGATTTTTGATATATTTTTTCAGCTCGTCGTTACTTTTTTGTAACATAATAAGATAATAAATAAATAAAAATAATAATAAAAATGTAGATTAAATCAACAAATAATTAATTTAAAATTTAATTGTTCAATTAATATAATATTATTTATTATATAAATATTTAATTAATAAGTAATTCCATTACATTTAAAATTAAAATTTAAAAATTAAAAGAATTAATTATTAAGTATCATACTAACTATTATAATAAGTGTTAATTATTAAATTTCTTGAGGTGAAAACATTTTGAAATGTGTATTATTGCGTTTTAAAAATAATACTTTATTTACTAAATCAGGTGATAAGCGCATTTGTTTTGCAAAAATATAATTTCTGGCATTGGAAAATAATCATTCGCTTGGCACTGAAGTGGTAGGGATCGAAAGATATTTTTTTTGCAAGTTACGTCAAAATGGGAAAACTATCCCTATGATTTACTTACCAGGTTAAAGGATTGTCTTTAACTTTAATATTCTTTATATTTTTATAGCGTGATACTTTATCATCATCATCTGTAATCGTTTGTGTGCAATCACCTTCAAGATTACAAAAAAAATCATTGTCGTCATCATTCTGATCCTTATTTTCTGTCAGTTCTGTGTCATCTGAAATATGAAGACTTGATTTTAATGTATTATATTTTATTTTTACTAATTGAAGTGCTTTATCACATTCATCTAGAGTCATCCAATTAAAATGTTTAAACCATGGATCAAGAAATGTGATGATTAAAGTATTATCAGTCAGAACGGACCATAATTCATCTAACGAAAAATAAATTGCAGCTCAAAATTTTTCAATCAATCCAGTGATATCAACTAATAGTAAGTATTCAATTTGATTTATATCCTCAATGCTTTCGATCTTTGTTTGTTTCTAACTAGTCCCATTCGAATTTGTCTTCTTTGACCGCAGATTTTCATTCTTTGATGAAATTGTCAATGTGCATATTGTCATTGTTGTTAAGTATCAGCAGCAGATATGTCATTATCAATTATTTCATCATCATTTTCTTCATAATTTTCTCCATAGATAAGATTTAGATAAGATTCAATAGTCTCTTCTTTATCTGATCTCAGAGCAAATTATTTTTTAAAAATTTCATAAAAGGATGAATAAGATTAAGAGTAGGATAGCTTACACCACACAAATGCTGAGTCACAATTTCAATCAGTAGCTTTACTACATTTTGTATAAACTTACAAAATAAATAAATAATAAGAGTTAAAATTTGAATTGTATTTAAAATATAAAATTTATCTTTTTTGTATATTAAAAAATAAAATGAGACAATTGATAATAAAGTTAAATAAAAAATATGTATTACTCTTTTCTGTAACTGATAAGCAAAGCCGTTCTAGTTTTTCACCTTCTTTTTGAGAAGCACGATCTGTTTCTGAAAGAAGCGAAGTTAAACAAATCTCATTGAATTATGTAATTCTAGAATACGCTTTCAAGCCAGATAGGTAGAGTTCTATCGTATCTTGACATCTGTTAGAAGGTTGAGAAGACTTTGAATAAAATCTCCTTCAACTTGATTATTTTGCACTTCGCGTAAATGTTGAGCCTGCTTAGAAAGCTAAAAAAAGTTTGCAAACTTTTGACATGACGATAAATAGCTTTACATTATTTCAGTCCCTCTTGGACTGATAATTGTAAAGTATGCGCTGTACAAGATTGTTGTTCTATACCGCTAATATAATTACTATTTAATAATCTTATTCCTTTTATCATATTAGAACTGTTATCTGTAGAAATGGTAAAAACCATTGTTTGAAGACGCCATTCAGAAATTATTTTAAATAATTCTTCACTAATTACTTTCCCAATATGTGAATATAGAAGATGGTTGCAAAAAAGAAGAGCTTTTCAAAACTTAAAATCAAAAGATAACCAGAAAACTGTAATACCTAAATAACCATATCGAGACTTTGCAGTCTATAAATCAGTAGTCAAATAAATGCTTATTACACTACTTCGAAGTAATGAGCTAAGTTGATCATAGCTCTAATTATATGCTTCATGTATTAGTCCTTTAGCAGTTTTAATATATAGAATGCAAAATCCCAGCTTACACATAAAATAAATTCACGAAAAAACTTATTCTCCAAAATATAAAGAGGCAAAACTAAATGAACAATAAATTGTATTAATTTTCTCACTAAAAGTCTTGTCTTTTAATTGAACATAGTGGTGCTATTGTTGCATTATTGTAATAATTGATAATTTTGTTTTGATCAAATTCTGGCTAATAAATAAATTAGCAGCTATTAGTATAAGTTAGATTTTTAAAATTTAATAATATTTAAATTTGAAATAATTGTATCTCGCCATGTTCATCTAAGTGTTGAGTATAATTTTCCTTAATTATATTATGACTATTTCATAAATGATTTATCATACTTGTTGTATTCCCACCTTTCTGAATATATGCATAGGTTTTTTTATTAGTTCCTGAATAATTAAACTCACATATTTACAATATACTAATTTAGAGTTATTTTTATCTCTTCAGAAAAAAAAAGAAGTATGACTTTATTATTTCAGTTGACCATCACATTAGAGTTTTGTTTTTTTCATTTATTATTTAATTGTGCAGAAGTAGAACCAGAACCAGTAGAATGGATAGTATTAGTATTATTATCAGTATCTAAAATTGATAAAGATGACATTTTTTTATTGAAATAATAAACTTCAAGATTATCCTTGAAATATAGATTGATTAACATCAGAAAAATAAATCAATCTTAAATGAGGCATTTAGTACTTAAGCTACTAATAAACCCTACGGGATTACTAGGATTAGACATTTTTTTCATTACATATTGAAGAGAGTAACAAATTTTACTGATTTTTTTTAAATTTTTTTTTATCTGCGGGTTACTTTTATAGTATCTATAATAAATTAATATAAATATTTACAATAATGCATAATAATATATATATATGATTGATTTTCAAATGAAAATGATAGAATTTACCATCATCTGTACTCCTATACTATAAACTGATAAAAATCAGTTATCGATTTTACAAAATTCTGAACAGTTTTAATCTGATACATTAAAAACTGATTATAAATCTGATATCAATAACTGGTTCTGACCTCTATTTGATACTAAATTAAAAAATTTATTTTTAAAATATAAAAGAAGAGAAAATAGTTCATCTGAAATTATTCAAGAAAGTTTAAAAAAAAATTTTTTAAAATTTTAATTTTTCATAAAAGTAAATCAGAAAAGAATTTATAATTAATAAGCAAACAAATTTACTTATATAACCCTATAATTTAAAGGATAATAATTATAATTATTAATATTTAAAATAATAAAAAATACTAATGCTAATAAATCAAATAATTTGTCAAAACCTATTGCTATAATAATGAAAATCCTATTTCATCTGATAATTCCAGCTAAAGAAACCAATCTAGCCTAAAAAAAATAAAATTAATTAAATAATAGTAAGAATAATAAAATAAAAAAATAATATTATTAAAAAAATAATTTTAATTATCTATATTCATCTTTAATCAAAATTCTTCGAAATTTAGTCTGATTTAACCTAAAACTACTTAAGTAAAAAATAAAAGTTAAAACTAATTACAAAATAAAAAAAATAAAAAATAATAAAAACTAAAAAATCATAATTATTAAAAACAAAATTTTTTATTTAATTTCTTTATTTAAACTAAATGAACAAAAAAATGAAATAAATAAAAAAATTAAATTAAATAAATGAAATATGAAATAAATAAAAATGTTAAAAAAATAAAAAAAAAGAAAGAAGCAATGAAATGAAAAAAATACTAAAAAAATAATAAAATGAATAAGTAAAATAAAAAAAATTAAAAAAAAAAAAAAATATAAAAATATAAAAAAAATAAAAAATGAAAAATGAAAAAATGAATATTAAAAAAAAGAAAGAATGAAATCCAAAAATCAAAATCAAAAAAAATTATGACTATATAAAAATTAAGCATTAAAAAAATAAAATTAAAAATCAAAATCAAAATCAAAATTAAAAATAAAAAATTTATTAAGATTATTAAAAATTAAATTAAAAATTAAACAAAAAACTTTCAATTATTAAGACCAGCTTCTGATTAGCTATAATCATGAATTTAGTTATATAATAAAATAAGAAATAAATAGAATTTAATTGCAGAATAATGTGATGCAATAATTTATTGCTATCAAAGTGAATAATTATCTGACTATTGTGAATATTATTAATTGCAAAGTATCAAAATTTATAATTTTATTATTTAATTTTATTACAATTTTATCATTCTGAACGGTCACATTTCTCAATACATTTGTCTTAAACAAATCATAAAATCAAAAAATCATCATCTATATATATTAGTCAAAATAAGAAAATTCAATTTTAATAGCATTCTATCAAAATTCAGCAACTTTAAAAACATTTAAC